TGGTACTGTGACATAAGAACGGTTACAATCATAATATACCAACAAGTCACATAAGAACATCAGTGGACGTAATTGCACTGACTTTGAATCCCTTTACAATAATGTAGAAACTGGCACAGCAGTAGCGTGGGACATAGATGGAACACAAATACAGAAACATAAGCTGGGCTACGCACCGTAAAGGTTTTTTGAAGATTATTGTAAACGTTACTTTTCTTCTAGTCAAGTGAACCTGTCATATACGGAAGCTTAACCCAAATGCTGCACATGACTTGATCCCTGCTACCCCCGATCCAATCAGATTGCGCCACTGCCCAGACAATCAGCAGTGAGTTAATCATTAATGAAGCGTATAACTCAGCCATTACGGGACCCATATTTACTCTTGACTCTGCATCTCGTTTTATCAATACTATCTGGTCATATCAACGATCTAGTCTTTTAACCACCTATTTGGAATAGTTCAGGCCATATCAACTGGCGAAGGAATTGGCAACAGAAATGGCAACCTCAGCAGACCATCTCCGTGCGATTCTTTAACAACGACAGACGCAGTTCGAAGCCGATCAACTCCGTCTATCGATACTCTGACTCATAAACTCTCGGTGATTCCCAAGGACCGTTCACTTCATGAAGAGTAAACCAATTTGGAGTCAATTGTGTCTACAATTCAGGTTTTCCAACATGACGCTCCATCTGGTGGTACATTCGAGTCTTAGTTCAAACCTTAAGAGGATATATTTCGGATTGAGCTCGGTGTCAAGGAGGATGCATGGCGATCATGAAAATTGCTTAGTAAATTGGCGGCCACGGAACAAGAGCGTTTTGTAAATTACATTTTGCAAAAACACACGTGATTTTTCATTCGATGACACATTTCAGTGTCTCACTCAGATCTTTGGCAAACGTTCCTCACTCTTCAGCACATGCTATCACTGTTTAAAACTTGTCAAACACTCCATGGATGACTACATTACTTATGCAGGTATAGTCAACCGAGAGTGCGAACGCTTTAAACTGGCATCCATGACAGAGACACAGTTCAAGTGTCTGATGTTCATCTGTGGTCTACAGTCTCCGTCAGAAGCGGACATCCGCACACGACTTCTTACCAAGCTGGAGCAAGTTTCAGACATCAAGCTGCAGATAATGGCTGAGGAATGTCAACTGCTGCTTAACCTGAAGCATGATTTCAGTATGGTGGAACAGAGGCAGATCAACATGATGGATGTTCGACCGGTCAGATCAAACCAGAAGGAGTCCAAAAAGCCGCCCACCGCAGGTTGGAACTGTGGCGCATGGCACTCCGCATCACAGTGCACTTTTCGCTGACCTCGGTGTAATCAATCTCAATGTTTTGGTCACCAATATGGTTTCTGCAGGCCACACAACTGGAGTAAAACTGACAATTCCAACAAACCATCTTCGAAGCCAACACAGAGGAAGGCTAGCCCGCAGCAGTAATGCGACCCATCAGGTCAGCGCGATATCCTGCAGGCGCTACCTGACAGTGAGTGTTAATGGGTATTCCGCAACTTTAATTAGACACTGGATCGGACATCACCATCATTTCACAATCCATTTGGGAGGCCATTGGACGTACTCCAGTTTTGCCAAGACAGCAAACTTCCTTCAATGCACCTGGAACTACTCTCGGATTGGTTGATGAGTTAAGTTGTTTGGTAATCTAAAATGAGTAAACGTTTGACTCTATATGTTGCCTCACTAATCAGCCAAAAGATTTTCGGTATTGATTGGCTAAGTAAGCTCAATCTTTGGAGTATTCCTTTTGATAAAGTGGGTAAACTGACACTGGGTATCACGGTTGCGCCCAGAATTATCGATGTAGGGCTCCAGCAGACGATTTCACAGCGGTTGTTTCAACGATACGCAGTAGTTTTTCAGGACGGCGTCGGACCTTGTACCAAAATGAAGGCTGAATTACAGTTGCGGACAGATGCTAAACCCGTTTTTCGTCCAAAACGTCCAGTACCGTATTCTGCCCTAAGCAGTGTTGAGCAAGATCTTAAGCGTCTACAATTAACAGATATCATACAATCGGTCGATTACTCTGACGGCGCTGCTTCCATTGTGGTAGTGCGAAAGACTAATGTCACCATCCGTGTATGTGTAGGTTTTACAACACGTCATCATGAGACCCTTCAGACACACAACTATCTAGTTGACGACAGATCAAATCTCATTGTAATCGACGTTAAGTGCCCAGAGGTCGTTCCAATGTTGACCATAACCACTACATCGCCAACCACCAGACAGCTGTGCCAGATTTTTAGTCGCTTTGGTATGCCCGAAACACTTGTGATCGACAATGGACCACAGTTCACATCGGAGGAATTCGCGACATTCTGTCACCACAATGGTGTGACTCATATGCAAACATCACCATTCCACCCTCAATCAAATGTTCAGGTGTAGTGCTTCGTTGACACCTTCAAGTGTGCCCTTATCAAAGCGAGAGGGGACGGTCCCACGGACTAGTGTATACAAACCTTCCTCATGGTGCATCGAATCACTCCACATCCTGCGTGCAATGGAAGGTCACCGTCAGAGATGTTATTAGACAGACAAATCAGGTCTGGTTGGGATACAATTATTCCGAAGCGAAAACAACTAGCCGGCCTGAAAATCACAGAAGTGTCGCAACCAACGACGTGGGACTGTGCAGAATCTACCGATCGGTGAACTTGTATGAGCAAGAGATTTTCTTCAATCGAAAAACAGATGGGCTCCGGGTGCAGTTACCAGACAGATTGGTAGAGTCATCTACCTAATAGAGGTCCATGGCGAAACTTTGCACTGCCACGTGAACCAGCTCAGACTTCGCTCCAGCAGTAATCATTGTTTACCATACCGCAATCCCAAGATTGATTTTCAGCTATTCTTGGAGGAGTTCTCGTTGCCAAAACTAACAGACAAAAATGCGAACCAAGTGGAATATACAAGCCAGGAGTCGGTACCAGCATTGGATACGGTACACAGGCGCCCAGTACGGAATTGTCAACCACCGGATGGATTCATATGGACTCAAAGGGTGGAGGTTCCAGGCAGACATGTCAACAGAAGAGGGAGGTGTCATCAGAAGTCTAATCCAAATGCTGCACGTGTCCCTATCTCAGCTATCCCCGATCCAATCAGATTGCGCCACCACCCAGACAATCATCAGTGAGTTAACCATTAATGAAGCGTATAACTCAGCCATTACGGGACCCATGTTGACTCTTGACTCTGAATCTCATGGTATCAATACTACCTGGTCATATCAACGATCTAGTCTTTTATCCACCTACTTGGAATAGTTCAGGTCATATCAAAACCAGTCTCCGAAACGAAAACTAGCAGATATGCGTACTGCGGAATTTTCGCGAATGCGGAGGATGGCGGCGATGCACGCACCACAAGCGATGGCACAAAGCTTTGACTCCGAGATGAGTAGGTAAAGCTAGAGGTCGCGACGTAGCCCCAGCTGCCGTATTGATTGTCGCAGCAATCAGATGAAGTATGACATCTGTCGCTGTGCCTGCGGGTTTTCATGTCCATAATTGGTTTTCAAAACCTCCGTTAGTGAACAAATGAACAACTCGGAATACATTTGCCTCTCGTGACCCGTGAGAGAAACCGTGGTTGTGTATCTTTCAGGCATGCAGCCATACTCCAGGAACCCACTGAATTCCTTATCCACACATTCACTCCAAATAGGATGGAGCAGCAAGGGGAACACCACGAAGATTGCACTTCACAAGCCACCGATACCAAGGGCACAGTGGAGGGGGACAAACCGGAAGAAAGCATGTGATAATCGATACACATGAGTTAATGTGCATCAGACAGAAAGAGAAGCAAATGTATGCCTCACAGAGACCAAAAAGGATTCAGTGATAACAGAAAAGTTAAGCCAAAGTGCAGTTGCTTGCCTAAAAGTCTAGAAATATGAGGATGCTGAGGAGAGAGGTGTCGGCCGCTCGGAACAGAGGTAGCGAGAGAGAGAGAGCGGAAACATACTGGAATGCTGTGCATCTGAGTTATTAGATCATCGGGAATGGAGACGAAGTTTCAGATATAACTGTTTAGACTGGGAGCACCTGCCGTGCGTGTGGACTAAGGCAATCTCAAACGGGGCCATAGTTTGCCTTAAGGTAAATCTCGGTAACTTCGTTCGCTGGGAGAGGATCACGAAATGGAAGGGTTCCGGTGTTGCTCTCGCTTAACACTACACTTCATCCACAACCAGGCTTCGACATGCTTGAGTGCTTCAGGTAGAGATAACTTGAGCTGGGTGGGGATGGTATCTTGGACGTGGCGGTTGACGGTCACTGAGCTTCACAAGCGTTGTTCACGGAGCTCACAATGGCCTGGGGATCAAGGCGTCCACGGTGAACCACTGCGTGTCAAGTTTCATTCTCAACTGTGGCATTGTCTACCTGAAGAGTTCAAACGAGGGGAAAACCGTCATGAAGTGTGGTGTGATGGGAGCGAGCAACGTCAACTCTACACAAACAGACTGGTGCATAAAGAGTATGCTTAAGTAGCATTGATTGCAGCTCGTTACAAATTCTAGATCGATCTTTACCTGGTTCGAGGCAATGTGGACACCGGCGATGAAACGTTTCTACGATTACACCTACTCCGACACATCTGAGGAAAGTGTCATAAACGTCTCATCCTCCAAAGCTGCTCTCAAATCTTCACAGCACTTGGAAGGCTGACTGTAATGAAGTAGGGCATCAAGAGAAGGTGAAACAATGTACATCCAAAAATACCCGAAAATGCAGTGATAGTTCCATAGCTACTACTTATTATAGTGGCGCATGTGAGTACCATCTGTACGCGCCACGTATTCGACTCGGAGGTAGTAGCGAATGCACACAGTCTGATAGTTTGCAAACACAAAACTGTTGAACAGAGTCGGAACAGTAAAAGCTAGAGCGATTATGAGAAGAGAGGAGGCAATGCCTGAAGACTGCTCATTATTTATGACTGACCAGGTTCAATTGGTCCGCGCAAGCCAGACCGGCAGGTCCACTGCCAACCACCACAATCCGACGTCCGGTTGTTGGTCGGTGAAATGTCTTGGTTGGACGGAACCAACCTTGCTCCCAGGCTTTGTCAGCGATGGCACATTCGACGTTTTGGATGGTGACCGGATCGGAGTTGATGCCCAATACGCAAGCTCCTTCACAGGGTGCCGGACATACACGACCGGTGAATTCCGGGAAGTTGTTGGTTTGCAGTAAGGCCTGGTAGGCTGCATACCAATCGTCCTAAGTGTGGGAGAAAACGAGTAGTGTTCATTTAGTTCTACTATGTTCGGAAGATATTTCCCGAATGTTCACACGGTGCAAGACAGTGTAAAGTCGAGGGGGCAAATCATGTTGGAACAAAGAATGTGACGTCTAGAAGGATTTGATCCACGGAACTGACCGTAATTTCCTAATTCAAGCTGTTTTGGAGAATTTCACTAAGTTTGGCTGGACACATCAGTTCAACCGTGATGCCGGTAGTGTCACGGTAGCAACAAACGTTGATACAAGCGGCTGTATCAAGGGAGAAAACCACATATGCTAAAAGGGGAGTACCTGTTGTGATACGATCCTAAATAAGCAAATAACTAGAAAGTAGAAACGTATAACTACGTACCTAAATATGGACTATTGGGTAGTTATCCACTTAAAGTTCGCCTCATGAGATCAAGCCACCCACTAGGGTTTGTGACTTTCTCAGTAATAATTATATAATCATCCCTCAATGTCCAAGCTGTTAAATCGGCGTAGAGGTTGAAGGTGTCGTTACAGCCCATCATCGGTAACAGCATCTGTTTGTAATCAGTCCTCGGCAATACGCCTGTGCACCGCACCGACGCTTCGCTCTCGGGCCCCCTTCACCAGTCGTGCGTGAGGTCGTCACCGCACCTACGCACATTCGAGCCGGTGACCATTGGGTTAGCAGACAGACGCCTCATTTGGTCAAGCCGATGAGAAGGCACTTATCGATGAACTCGCTCGTTGACTGTCAGTCGGTTACGCTTCGCTTACCCACATGGCTGCGTCGTTCGCCTTGTACGAAAGGGAAATATCCTTCCGGAAGGAAGATTATAGGGAGATAGTGTAGTTGTTTTGTCTACGATTAAACATTTTAGAACTTTCAGCCTATTCGGCATGAATTCTCCAGTTGGATGCAACACAGACTATTAAAAAAGTGAAAGGTTTTAGAGTCTTTGGGCTAGGGTATTTATAATGAACGTCTAGATGCAAAATTGAGCACGGTGGAATGCAATCCGCTACGATTAAGAACAGAACTAGGGTACTCACTCGGTATGGTGAATGGTAGAATATATAAAAAGCAACCAAAGCCTATGGAATATGGGTATTATTAGCGCATGCGAAACTCCCTTTATAGTTTAGTTGGTTAGCGAACCAGAGAAGGTTAAACTTAACAAATGTTTCATATCGGGAGTTAACCAGTGAAGAGCAAGCAACTGTAAACGCGATGGTCAGATGCGTGTCAGTCAAGGGAAGTGCTTCTGTCCCTACAGTCATTGGTTCTACACTGAAATATGATCTAGTAGAGTGCACAGTAACAAGTTCAGCTTCCACAGAAACATTCCCAAGTGCCAGTATGTCGATTCTCCCAGGACATATTAAGTCAGTGGAGGTTGCATAAGAAGATGACATGCTGGCTGAACTACTTCCTCGTGGTGCCAGTTGAGGGATTCATGATTATCCCGTTCCAGTGAATAGTTCGGTAGTAGTCTTCCCGAACTTGGGGATTTTCGCCTCGCAAACATTCGCCCCACAAAAAGCCACCGATATACGTTTACTGACACCCTGGCGCGACAGATGTGACTCACCACTAAACAAGCCCACTGTCCCAAGTTTAACCCTGGTGAAACATCGTAATCCATCATTCTGCTGCTTTCACGGAAATCACTTGGCTCCTGTTTGGTTCCCGAACAAACGAAAGGCGTATGTACTGAACAATCATTCACTGGCTCCCATTGAGCGCGATTCCCTGAGTTTGCCCCACGGCCTTGCGAGTGGGCTATGTAGCCAGAGCTCTGGGGTGTTATCCCTTAAGACAGCTCCCTACGTTGGCTTGGGCAACTGCATAGTATCGTGCTACCGACAAAACGATGGATCGTTTGTTTCCCATATCCTACTTAAGTACCCCTGTTTCTGCTACTCATGCACCTGCTTCTCACGACACTTGTTTATTTGTTACCAACCCCTGTTGTCTGTTACCGCCCGATTTCCCTTTCCCTAATGCTACCGCCAATGGTTTCATCCAGGCCAACAGAGCCTCCTTCTGTCTCTATCCTCGTTCCGTCTGCTATGCCTCATTGTACGTGTACTCATGCAGCTGCGGCAACATGCTGGTTTCGCCCGTACTTTGCAATCCCTCGCCATCGATATTTGCTATCATACCAAAATCCGATTGCTAAATACCAGCACTGTGGTTAAGTTGACATACCCAACTGTCCAAGGAGCTATACTTCACCGGCGTCTGTCTGGCGACACGGAAGGAACCATAGCAGGTTTGGTTGGTGTAGGTATAGCACTAAATGGCAAAGCCAAGGCCTCATCTTTAGACCCGTTCCCGATTGACATTCGGGGATCATGCAAGATCAAAAGACATTGCAATGTATAGTGGAAAGAGACTTCTCACACTGTGCGAAGACAATTGTCTGTTTCTCACGAGCACCAGCTTCCGGCATTCGACGAGACGTTTAGCTAACTGTCAGCACCCGTCTGCGCCTCAATCATGGTCTCAGACTGATCACATCGGAATCAGTTTCAGATGGCGGGGTAAAGTAAATGATTGCGGATCCGTTTGGTTCCCATTTCTTAACTTAGACAATGCTCTTGTCTGTACCAACGTCTACACGCTTTTCGAAGTATCTCCAAAAATGAAGCACCGTAAGGTAGCTACAAACAGATTATCTACTCTCATGGTCCAGCAGAGCAATCATTCTCCCCTGGTAGACGCCCTCATCTACGACCCACCGCAAGATCTCGATGAACACTGGACGTCCATGCTATGAAACATTAAAGCAATGGATTATAACGAATGTAAAAGCAAATGCTTAACATGTCCCGGAGGATGTTTAATTACAAAATCAAAAGCAGTTCCGGTAAAAGCTTGAGAAATACATGACTCATCAAGCGGTTTGGAGTAATTTATGTGTGCGTATTTCTGCTTGGAGTTTAGGAGAGTTATGACACCGACCACACTTTGTTGTGCATTACTGCCAGCATCTGATGGTCATGTACTATATCATCATGATCTCTTCAGAGCAGTTAGTCTGTGGTCTGACTCAGCACCCTAAGAACGCCTGGATCTCCACACGTTCACCGCATTTATTTGACTGAAGCAGAAATATCCCAGCAGAACAGAATCCCAAGGAGGTGTGCGCTGTCAAACGGCAGCCCAAACGAAGGCTACGCAGCGACTGCGAAGTCTGGCGATCTCAGCGTGCTTCAGAAATGGAAGCCGCTGCCCCCTCTGGCAATACTCGCAAGCTCTCCCACATCATTAGATCCAATGGCCACAAGAATCCTGGTGTCAGTGAGACTATTTGCGAATTGGATTTTTCCCCGATTGCTAACTTACGGAGACGCTGGGATCGATGGGCGAAACGGTTTCATTCTCAGTTCAGTTGACCTACACGTCCACTTGTATTCCCCGCGAACCCAGCTGCCAGCCCAGGGTCATCACACTTGATCCACCCAGCGAAGCGGTAGTTTTCCTTTTAATTCGACATTTGAAGCGATTCAAGGCTGTCAACACAGATGGACTTCTTTGAAACTATTCAAATATGGCTGCGCAGTTATCATCAGCTAGCTAACCGCAATTTTCTCCAACATTTGGCTTGAAGAAAGGTGCCTTGGGGCGAATCGATTTTCAGTAAGAGTGTTCGCACTTCACGCACCAATCCCAAAAGAGTAGTCTTACTTCGGTTCTTTCCAAGCTATTGGTATACATCCTACTTCGTAGACTATTACGCATTGGTGAAGCGCAAATCGTGAAGTACAAGCTGACTTCTGTGTTGCCAACGGGTGCGTAGATCAAACCTGCAAAATCTGTTAAATTCTTTAACACTGTCATCTATACTACAGGCCTAGCACCGTTGCATTCTTAGACATTCGTGCTGCATACGATTCGACTGATTGACATGCGTTATGGCGTTGATTGCTAAGAAACTGGGTACCGGAAAAGTATACTGCCAGCCTGAGATTACTCCAACTCCATGTCTCCTGCAGAGCGAAGGTGTATGGCAAGCATTCTTCATCTTTCGCTGTCAATAGCGTTATACCATGGCTGCCCTATGTCCCCGTTCCTCATTAATTTTCAACTTAAAGACGTCCTGTAGGAAGCTGAGAAATGTTACTAACATTTTGGCCTGAAGCTACTACAGCGTAAGCAAGCGACCGACTTAGATAATGCTGGTGACATCGTCTTACTTGGTGACGACTCGCCGAGTATGCAAAACATTTTGAACTATTTGGCGCTTGGGGCATCTAAATACGGAATGTGCTTTACTCCGTTGAATTGTAAGTTATGACTCCAGGATTGACATTCGCCCGTTTCCGTCCACACTCTTGAAGATACATAGCCTGGAAACGTTGACATCTTTGTATACATGAGCAACTGCATTTCTGGTGGTGTCACCATTGAGGAGGAAGTTTCTTTCCGCGTCGCCAAGTCTCGGTCGGCGTTTGTCAGTCTAAAACACTTGTGGCATCGTTGAGCTATCTCGAAATTAATAAAGGGTCGTGTTTACAATGTCACTGTTTGGGGGTTTTGTTATATGGAAGCGAGTCGTGGCCAGTTCGGGGGGATGACATGTGCCGGCTTCCGGCCTTACTCTGCTTGAGGGGGTTGCGCGTGCGTGGTGGCAACATCAAGTCGGAAACGGTGAAGTCAGACGTCGTGTCTTACGGAACGCTATTAAGCCCTCCAACAACTAGCATTACTGCACCAATTAAGATGGCTCGGTCATGTTTTGCGTATGACAGCTGAGCGTTCGCTCCGTCCCACCCTGTTTGCTCCTGCAGTACTCGGCTAGATGAGGCCACGAGGTGGCAATAACATACACCTCCTTGACTTCCCATCTTTCGCCGTTGAATACACTCGTCTGCCTGGTTGGGAACCAGAAAACGAGCAGTAAGTATGGTTCAAAACAGCTTAAGGTATGGCTCGTAACAGAAACTAGTGAAGGCGTTGTGCATATTATTGTTGGGATAGTCATGAGGCGAGTAATCACAACTTGGATTAGTGGCGGTTCAACCAGGAGAAACTCCTTGGACAACATTGTGATGCGGTCGCTCAAAAATCAAGTCTCTCACCAAATAATACAGGGAAGCAGACCAATAATCCTAAAACTCCTGGTTCAGTTAGGGCGTACAGCAACGGAAGTGTTAGAACGTTGGCGGTGACATCGGAAAAGCGTTCCAGCTGAACCTCGGTTAAAAGTTGGTGAAACTTTGCAAAGACCAGACATGAGTCTATTTGAAAAAGCAAACCTACAAGTGATTACGCAGAAGCATCACTTTACCGCTTGGTCACGCGATTCTGTAGTATGTCCGGACTAGGAATGGAACGACATGTCATCATCATCACATCAAAAAACGAAACACGACCGACCTCACATCGGTGTGCATTCTACAATACTTGATTACTTTAACTCCCTGTGGGCTCCTAGAGACCGAGAAAGTATTCTGCCTTTATACTAATGCTCAAGGCCTTTTCAATAAGCTGAATGAATTGAAAGATGACCAAATTTCAAAGCCATGCGATATCATCGGTGTCACGGAGACATGGTTGCACGCTGGAATGACAGGCACTGAAGTCTCCCCACTGATACGAAACGACAGGCTTACGAAAAGAGGAGGGGTAATACTGTATTACCAAAGCGACCTACAGTGCGAGGCCGTTGAGGATTCAAACTTACAGTTCATCGATTCTCTTTGGTGCCGCCTGCAATTACATGGCAGAGACACCTGCCTTATAGCTTTGGTATACCGCCCCAAACTCTACACCGGAAATGGACTGCCAACTTGCGACAGCTTTAAGATGCAGTCTAAAGCGAAAGCACACTCACATCCTTATCATGGGTGATTTCAATGTACACTGTTTAGAAACCCTGCTACAATCGGAGAACCATTCAAAGCAGATCTGCAAGAGCTTATAACCAGTGTTCCACTTTACAATCACGTCATTATGCCCACTCGTTTCAGAACAGGTAATAGACCATCTTTGCTGGATCTTGTGTTCACCAACGAGGAACATATGATTGATGTATTGATTGTAGAATGCCCTTTGGGTCGCAGTGATCATGCACTCATCAGTTTCGACTTCATCTGCTATGCGGAATATCGCCACCAGAACACTGAGATGGTGCGCACCATTACGCGCTACGACCGCTTAGCCCAGCTCGTCAGTGCCACAACCTGGTCGTTCCTCGCTGAAGGCCACCCGGAAGTCGCTTGGCTTGAATTCGTCAGCAAATTCAATCAACTGGTTACGGATGCCTCAGAGACAAGGGTTTTCAATGGGCCTAAAACCGTTTCTTTCGTGAGGAGCAGAACTAGAAAATGGATGACTGTACGCAACGCAGCCTGGCGAGAGTACAGATCATCACCAACGCCAGATAATTGGGACAACTACGTAGCCCATCGTAACCACTGCACTCAACTGCTCAGAGATGACAAAGTCGCATATCAGCAGAATATGGCGAAAACTTTCAGCGCTAACCACAAACTGCTGTACAAGTATGTCAATGGCCGTCGTAAGGTGAGGCAGGGAATTTCTCTGCTCCGGACGACTGATGGTCCAACTAGAACAGCAATGGAAGCAGCAAACGCGTTGCGGACGCAATATGCTCCCACATTTCAGAGGGTCTTACCATCAGGCCATCTTCCAACTTTTGTTTTCTCGCCTCCAGGACTCACCCACATCTCTTTTACTGCCAAAGCTGTTTCGCAGAAACTGACGTCCCTGCGCAACCACAGCTCCCCGGGAGTCGACACCATTCGCCCAGAGGCACTGAGAGCAGCAGCAAGGCAAGTAGCAAAATCTTTGGCTTAGTTCTTTCAACGCTGCTTAGGCCAGTACCGGATTACTGCGAGGTGGAAGCTTGGAATAATAATTCCTGTTCATAGAAGTGGAAGCAGGACTGAGTCCTGAAACTACCGCACGGTGTCTCCGCTCTGTATGGTTCAAGGTCATGGAATCTACGTTTGCCGAAACCTTGGGGGTATTCTCTAGAGAAATATAATGTTGTTGCACCCGAGCAACACGGCTTTCGTCTAAATTATAAATAAATAAATAAATAAATACGCATCAAAGAACAGTTAATGGTGCACCGAATGGACAGGCCGAGGTTTGTATGCCGCATTATCGGAGTGGTTAAGTTTTATGATTTAATTTTTAACTGAAGAAAATACACATATTAGCGCTGGTCATGTGTAGGAAGCTGGTTACAAATGGGTGCCGTAGCTTGATCGAAGTTTACTCGTCATTTGCAGTCGTGCCAGCAATACTGGATGACCATGGTTTTGGGCCGATTCTGGTTCGGCTCTTAGTTGTCAGCAAGTACAACAACAGGAACGCTTTTACCATGTCTAACGTGTGTTGTCATATTGAACTGAAACTGGAGCCCTCCGCTGTAGATGTTGAAATAGAAAATTATGAACCGCGGTTAGGGCAAAGAATGGCGGATGGGAATTCGTATGCAACTTACCTTGAAAACCAGATCGATCCAGTTTGGTATGAAATTCCCCAATGGGCAACCGGTGTGTGATTGGCAGAATGGGACACCACAATCCATGCACCGCGCCGCTTGTCGTTTCAGACCACTGCGAATCTCCCTATGGGCGAACAACTCTTCCCAATCGTTCATTCGCTCGTCTATCGGCCGATATAACACCGTGCTTCGAGCGTATCTGACAAACCCACGCAGCTTGTCCAGCGGAAGCTTTGAAGTGGTGTGGTCCTCGCTGTCCCCGTCAGCCATGTCTTCGATGTCCGGTACCGATTGCTTGAAACAAACAGGAAGGACCAAGCGGTTAAAGCCGCTAGACGATTACCAACGCATCCAATGATGTGACAAAGATGGATGAAATTGGGGATGTGGGGCGTAAAGGATGGTGATCTCCATAATAGCGTAACAAAATCCACTGTAAAATGACTGCAAGTTCGATCACAACTACACGAGGGCCAAACGCTTCTATATAGACAAATCGACAAGCCCGCGATTCAGCTAAGGGCACATTGGAAGCAACACACCAATTACTAACCATTCGTTTGTTAGTCTTCTCTGGCTTCAGCATCGAACTGTTACACGTGCCAGTACCATTGGGTTGTGTGTGTTTTTCGGCCTCAAGTGCATAACGATATTCTGGGGGAAACACAAAAATAAAGTTCCGGATGGCCGTCGACCAGTCTCTGAGTATAGCCTTACCGATCTGTCAAAAAGAGTAACAGAACAAGCTGTTAAAATAAGTCAGTGGCTAACACATTTACGACAGAGGCATCATTTGAGTAAATGTGGAAAGAGGATATCGGCACAAGTTGACCGAAAAAGCGGACAAACTTCAGAATGTATAGAAGTTCGTTGGTGCATTTGTCGAATGATCACAGTTATCATAAGGATCCTAAAGATGTGTTGGGAAGCAGATTGTATCACTGACCAATTCAAAGAGCTGCTGTCACTTGGTACACAAAAGCAGAGCAGAATGGTTTTGGACAATTTGTTGCCACCCTTGAATCGTTATCGGAAAGGATACATTTGCATAGACATATTTCAAGTATGCGGGTACAATTTTTGAAAATAGAACAATGCAGCTTAATGGTATATCGTCACAACAGTCCTCATGTAACGATCATAGGATTGGATTCCCCAGCGACAGGAGCTGAGTATGAGACTAACACACAGAGGACGAGATGATAAGCGGAAATTTGTGCTCCTCGTCAGCGTTAAACAATCCGGTGGTCTGATGAGGGCTGTCGTCCAGACCTGTAAATACCATGAGCTCCAAGTGTAGTAATACGACGCTGTAAATCATGGCTTCATCAGGGTTCTGTCCTCACTATGGAACAATGGTGTATTACGGATAAAATGGCAATGCTTAACAAGTCCTGTGGGATGGAAATTATTGCGAAAATTAAATTGCATGATAAAGTGAAAAAGGTTTTGTTGGACTCACCATAGACTTATGCAGAACAGCGGGTGTTCGCGTATTAGAAGTATAAATCCATAAATCCATTGTTTGGGAGTTTGGCAAGACACCATTTGATTGAGTTTTGTATCCCATGGCTACTAAGTCATAAAGTGAAATGCAAATGAGACAACACACCGTCAACTCGATTTTTAAATATCGCAAGATTGGGAGCAGAGACGACATATTAAGGCGGGCGTTCCAAGGCTGGCACAGGCGGACGGAAAAGAAATTTCCAAGGCACTCAAGCCGGCTATACTGTATTTTCACTTTCAGAGGATGACCTCTTAAGTTAGTGTTGTGGTTCAATTCCAGCAGCGGACGGCAAATGTGATTTGCGTACTTCAGGATTTGATAAACCATTATGAAATTCCCCCTTCAAAAGTCAATATCGACTGCTGTACATTATTAGAGATTTCAGTCTAAGCTGATAGGACAGCTGAAAGTCGCCCCTGACGTTCTTAGTTGCTCTTCGATGAAGCGTCTCGAGAGCAATGCGATTCTGTTTCTACCAAGGGTGTCACGCCTGGATGGCATATTTCACGTGCCGTCGCAGGTAGGCATTAAGCACTTGGGAAAAGACTGAAACTTCAAACCGACCGAAGGCTCTGCGAAGCAGGGCCAAGTGTTGATTGCCGGTTCTTGTCGCCTTCTCTGCTTGTTTTGTACACCCGAGATCTTCCTGTACCAGTGCACCATAGTCACGCTGCTGAGCGGCCTTCTGCAAGGGGTGGTCTCCAAATTCGTAAGCCCTCACTGGCTGGTGACGCATATGGATCACTGTGCACTTAGCTATGTTCAACTGAAGCAGGTCCCTCTTTGACCATTCATAAATGCCATCTAAGCCATGTTGGAGTAGATCGTGATCTTCGTTGTTACAAATTCCCCGCCCTATTTTGAGGTCAACTGCAAAAAGCAGGAAATTTGAGGAGATAACTTTTGGCAGGTCGTAGATAAACACCAGGAAAAAGCGCGGTCCCAGCACGGAGCCTTGTGGGACCCCACCTTCCACTTTAATCGGGTTAACAGTGATCCCATAGTAGCTGTGTACTTATACATTTTCATATGTACACTTTGAGTTATTCGAGAGTTACAAGCCAAAACCAATAGAAAATTCGTTGGTGCACTTGTCAAATAATCATAGGTTACCTTGTGGATTCTTAAACTTGTGTTGGGAGGCAGGTCGTATCACGGACCAATTCAAAGAGCTGCTGTCGATCCAAAAGGACCCCGCCTGATTCAGGAACAATCGTAGACCTACATGCGGCCAGCGCACTACAAGCACATAGTAGCATGTCTCAAATAAGCAACCTTAAAACTTTAAGACTAGTATGCTTGAAACCGATTTGTACAAGCTAAAAGTACCTAATTCCACTAGAAGGACATTTGGTAAACACATTTAAATGCCTCCTGACCAACTGACATTGACCGGTATGCAAGTTGATTAGGTCCGGAGCAATGGGAGAAGCAGTTGGAAATGCAGATTCTTACAGAATCTAGAAAGATTGCAGACGAGTACATCAAGTTACAACCAAGATGGGAAGGTACAGGTCGTCTAGGTATGCTTTAAGTCTGGAAGCACCGGCAGATAGACACACACAAAGTTTAGTACTCAGTCTGCGACAAAGGATAAATTACCGTCAACCATATCCGGCGAAAAGAATGACGACTTTCGATAGAAACTTCACTAATCAGATCCACATGAATGACGAGATGGTTAATGTTATCGCCTGCTTAGAAGGATGGTGTAATAGGTCCTGAGACTCATACAGATTAGTAGATATGAAGGAGTTTGGTTAGCACGCTGACATTCATGCGGATCCGAAAATTGGTCAGCCCTTTTCGATGTTTTATGCCAGACAGACGAAGGTCAAACAAAGTAGTGAACTCTGGTCTCGTTCCTGATTGTGTTGGACAACAGCAAATGCTGAATCGGAATCGAGGAGTGGACAGCAGGACCACGAGAAACAGTGTTTCGCCTCCACACCTAGCCTTATCACAGCAAATCCTCCAGTTAAACCACACGCTGAGTCCAATCTCGGTGGATCTAAGCAGTCGTTTCGTTTCTTCTTCAACCTGCAAATCAGCCCGGAGCGGGATCCTTTAAGTTCGCGTTGCCTGATACAAGAACCATGGAACGAGAGGATCGATTTCCTTCTTTTCTCGGATTGGGTTATAACGTCACAAGAGTATGGGCGATACTGAAAAGGAAGCCGATTCCCTACATATGGGCGTTATTCTCAATACAACAGCAGCAAAATTAATATTATTGGATGAGCCGAGCAATATTTGAGCTGCTAGCCGCCTTATCAAACGCCGCCGTCAAACACGGCCCCAACTGCTTATATGACCGCCTCGCAGGAGGGGAACATTTAGATTCGAATTCCGTTCGGTCGGCGTTCAACTGCCATCGAAGAGCAAAATCTGTTGAATCCAGTCAACAAGAACAATATCACTAAATCATTAAAGCCCAGGACAGTACGCAGGAAATGCGATGGAAAATAACACCAAAGAAACGAGAAATGTTGTTTGTTGAAAAGGTTAACCTCATCACGAAACACTTTGAATGCAAGAGCTCTAATGACTTCGCGACTGAACCACGTCGGACAAGTCAGCGAACCACTGATGCGGAGACCTCTTTCAGCAAGCCGACCAC